AATTGCTAATGTCAGATGAATCTTGGCTGAAAGCAAAGAATACCAGAAAGATGTTTACGTGTGTTTTATAGACTATGCAAAGGCACTTGACTGAGCGGATCCCAACAAACTATGGATAGCATTGCGAATAATGGAACTTCCAAAACACTTCATTGTGCTCATGAGGACCTGGTGTTTGAACAGGGGGTACTGAATGATTTAAAATCAAGAAAGGTGTGCTTCCGGACTGTATCCTTTCATCAGACTTTGCTCAATCTGTATGCTTAGCTAATAATCTGAGAAGCTGGATCATGTGAGAAGAGCGTGGAGAGCAGGGATATCATCACTAACTTGTGATATACAGATGACATGACCTTGCTTGAGGAAAGTGAAGAGAACTTGCATTACTGACTGATGATCAAAGACTACAGGCTTCAATATGGGTTACACCTCAACATAAAGCATGCAAAAATCCTCACAACTGGATCAAAAAGCAACAGTATGGATAAACAGAGAAAAGGCTGAAGTTGTCGAGGATTTCAATTTTACTTGGATCTGCATGGAAGCAGCAGTCAGGAAATCAAATGACACATTGCATTGGGTAAATATTTTGCCAAAGATTTCTTTACAATGTTCAAAAGTAAAAATGTCACTTTGAGGACTAAGGTGCATTTGACCGAAGCCATGGTCATTTCAATCAGCTCATAGGCATGCAAAAGTTGGACAAAGAATGATTGAAGAGTTATTGAAGTCTTTGAACTGTGTTGGCAAGAAATATTGAATATCATTATGGACTACCAGAAGAACAAACAAATGTAGTTTGGAAGAAGTACAGCCAGAATGCGCCTTAGAAGTGAGGATGTTGAGAAAGACTTCATCTCACATGGTTTGGACATGTTATCAAGAGGGATTGGTCCCATGCTTTGTAAAGTTGAGGGTCAGGGACAAAAAAGATCCTCAATAGGGTAGAAGGATGCAATGTTAGCAACAATGGGCTCAAATGTGGCAATGGTTGTAAGGATGGCACAGGGATGGGCAGTGTTTTGCTCTGTTGTACACAGGATCACTATTAGCCGATGGCACTAACAACTACAGTCAATGCTCCTAGCCTGTATGAGATAATCTAGTTATGCCACTGTTGTTAGTTGCATCGTGTGATCCCAGACACAGTGAACCCAGCTGCTGTCTGCTCCTACACCACTCCCATAATCAGCTGTGCACCGGACTGTTGTAATCGCTAGGGTTGTCACTGACTGACTTCTGGAAAGAGATTGCCAGGCCTTTCTTTCTACTGTGTCTTAGTCTGGAAGCGCTGCTGAGAGTTTTAACATCATAGCAATGCATAAGCCTCCACTGACAGAGAACCGTGGCTGTACCAGAGGTGCATCGTCTGGAACTCCATCACTCTGCCTCATGAGAGGTGAGAATTCCATCACTGAGCCCTCACTGCCCTCTCATCTCCAGATTTGCATTGTTAGTTACCATGGGGTTGGTTCTGACTCACGGCTACCCCATGTGTTACAGAACATCTCCATAGGGTTTTCAAGGCTGTGATCTTTCAGAAGCAGATCGCCATGACTGTCCTCCGTGGGACCTCTAGTTGAGTGTGAACCATCACCTTTTTAAGCTAGTTGTTGTTGTTGTTAAGTGCCGTCAAGTCAGTTCCGACCCATAGCGACCCTGTACAGAGTTTCCGAGGGTGTAAATCTTTATGGGAGTAGAAAGCCGCATCTTTCTCCAGTGGAGTGACTGGTAGTTTCGAACCTCTGACCTTAAGGTTTGCAGCCCAATTCATAACCACTATGCTATCAGAGCTCCTTTTTTTTTTTTTTTAAGCTAGTAGTCATGTGTTTAACTGTACCACCCAGGGACTGTATGGATAGTATATCTATAGAGAGAGAACATGAGAAGTTAGAAAAACAATGATGATGAAGGTACAGAAAGAGACACATGGGGTCACCATGAGACGGAGTGGACTCAACAGCCACTAGTTGAGATGAAGAGAAGGCCGAGGGAAGACTGAGAAATGAATACCCAGAGAAGTAAATCACATCAGAGGAGAATGCAGTCACAAGTCAAAGCAAACTGGACTGACCACAGCACGGCCACTAATCTGTGAGAATAGTTGGGCTTCTCCTTTGCCAAATCCATGTACTTAAGAAAGTATTTTCCCCTCCTTCTCATTAATTACTTTATCCACTGACCCAACAAACATTCACTAAACATCCATGCTGAGACCAGGTACTGTGCTAGGCCCTAAGGAGACAGACACGAGGACAACAAGGTCCATTTGGGCCCAAGGGGTTCACCGCCCTGGCCTGCAAGGGAAAGTTACAAAGCATTGACTTGTGCCCAGTCCAAGCCAGGATAGGGCGGTATATTGGAGTTGGCACTGATTGGTGCTCTAAACACATTCAATAAAACAAGGACTAGTGTGCAAGTCCAGAGGTCAGCAGGCTTGATTGTCTTGTTCTGAGTTGGCAGGAAGCAAAAGAGAAAGTCTATGGGACACATATTGCATCATTTCTGTGTGTTCCTGAGTCAGTCAGAGCTGATATTCTCGGTTCTCCCAAGAAAGCTGATCAGCCTGCTCAAAGGCAGAAAACAAAGTAATCCAATGAAAAGTTCACCACGGCCCACCAACTGCCATGAAGTCTATTCTGACTTATAGTGACTCTATATGACAGAGTCGAACTAACTGCCCCATTGGATTGATTTCCAACGCTGTACGTTTTTATGGCAGCAGACTGTCCCATTCTTCAGCCCTTGGAGGGGCTGGTGGGTTTGAGTTGCTGAT